TAGTCGTTTAATCTAACTGTTAAATTTTTAATTGATGCCCAGTGCCAGTAAATTATTTTCCTAAATGTTATGCAGTCGCTAGGAACATCCCTAGTACAGCTACTTTCCATACCACTGATATTTATTTAGACTCTTTTTCTCCAATTGATCTTTCTCAATTAACTGTTACTGTACTCTGTCCTAAAAATCTTAGACTGGAATAATGTCACAGTGTTGAAGAACTTTATTTACAATGACGTGGTTCTGAAATTAATACAAATAAGAAATAACATAAACATCTCTTTCACTGGTTCAGCATCTCTCACATTCAGTATTACAGAGAACACCATACCAAATTATGCATGGACAGAAACGGATACCACGAAAGGATTATCATAACGACATAACAGGATGAATAAACACAGAATCATAGTCAATTTAGGCTAATTCTCTCATTTGTGACTCGACACCACCCTCGACACAATTGCTCACTCAAATGCCGTTATGCTTACACAGGGGTTCTTAGCAAAAACAGGTTTGTATGCTAGCACAGAAACTACATCAAGGAAAATCTTTGTGAACATTAACTCTCCACAACAACTGAAAACAACTTAGAAATGAGGAGTAGCCTGTGAAGCCAGGCTACTACCTACTTTGCTTCGACAGTATAGCTGCTGACACACAGCTAATAATAACAGCTGTCCACATGGGTATATTAAATGCAACTGAAATAAAATATGTTCCCAATGTGACTTACTGTTTCTATGAATGCACACTTGCCAGCATTAGTCCACTTCCGTTCAGATCCATAACTTGCCTGCAATTGTTGCATCAAGGATGGACTCTGGCTATTGGCCCCTGTGGGAATCATGCTCCTCCCATGCAGGTAACGCATGCCCGGGCAGGAGGACTTTTTAACATATGTTTTTGAATGTATATAAAACAAATATTTAGGATTGCTTTCTTACATTTGCACAATATCTCTAAAATTAGAAACATCCTGTCTCAGAGTGATCCTGCAAAACTAGTTCATGCATTTATTACCTCTAGGCTGGAGTATTGTAATTCAGTATTATTAGGATGTCCTAAAAACTCCACAAAGCCTCCATTTGATCCAAAATGCTGCAGTGAGTACAGACAAAGACTAGAAAGAGAGAGCATATGTCCTAGAATTATCATCTTATCTTGAAGACCTCATAGTATCCCAGTAGAGCATTTCAGTATCAGACTGCTGGTGTACTTGTTGTTCCTGGAGTATTTAAAAGTAGAATGGGTGGTAGAGCGTTCAGCTTTCAGGCCCCTCATCTGTCGAACCAGTTCACAGTTTGGATTCAGAAGACAGACACCCTGTCTTCTTTTAAGATTATGCTTAAAATGTTCCTTTTTAACAAAACTTCTTTCAGGTGACACTGAATCCTCCCTTACTTACACTGCAATAGTTTTAAGCTTCTACATAGCTACTACTAAGCTACTTTCCATGATGCATGTTTCTTCTTTCCTGACCTTTTCTTTTTTTATCTTTTTTTTTAATCCTGCACTGCATGGATTCTAAGTTGTTTTTTCCTGACAAAGCTTGTCTAACTTGTATTTTTCTTTTATATACAGGCAAAGGTAGATGAGAGTGACAAAACTGTTGCAGAACATGAGAGGTTCCATGACAGCCTTCTAAACATCGAGAAGTGGCTGATGATCATGAAGCAGAAGCTGATGTCCTTCCACAGCCCAACAGGAGAGTGGAGCATAGAGGGGCGCCGGCATGAAGCTGAGGTCTGTGTGTGTTTGCCAGTTACACTGGATGTGCTAAAAACAATTAGATAGATAGATAGAATCAGAATCAGAAAGGGTTTTATTGCCAAAGGTTGAGCAGGTTTACAACATTAGGAAATTGCTGCGGTGCTTCAGTGCAAACATGCTGTCATAAATTGATAGATAGATAGATAGATAGATAGATA